TACAGTGCTATAGAAGTGTAGAATGGCAGTCACTAGTCAGACTAATCACTATGGCAACTCTGCGCATGCGCAAAATTTTTAAAATGGCGACTGAAATAAGGGTGTGTTATATCACGCCCATTATTCTTATTTGACCAAGAAATAAATTAAGATTCTGAAACTACCTTTGTAGCCCTTGTTCAAAGAGTAAAGGAATGGTGTAAAAGCCAGCCAAAGCAGTGTACTAGCTTAAAAGATTAGAGGGCTGATAGAAGAAGATGAAAGAAGAAAAAGTCTGAAGAATTTTGCAGAAATTTTAATTTGGGCCTATTCTCTAGAATTGCTCCCGCTATATTGCAGTCCACTTTAAAGGTACCAGGAGAATCGCTCAGGGAAGGAGAGCTCAGATAAGCCATTTATGAGGTTTTATATGGTAAGGTAAAAGAGTTAGAAGTGTTTTAAAATGATAAATTTGGCCGCCATCTTGAAAAATCAACCTCAACCCTACATAAAGGCTACCGCCTATATAATATAGTTGACTTTTACTAGCAATTAAAAGAGCTACACGAAGCTTGTAGTCCTCATATGTGACCCGATATGAGAAAACCAGGCTATCTGCGGGATTTTGGTAAAATCAGTTTTTGGTACTTACAGATAGAGAAAAAATTTTCCTTTCCAGCGATATCCCATTTATGACAATGCGCAATAAAACTTTGCAGTTAGGGACGCTGTTTGGACGATTGCTCTGGAATACAAGTACAGAGAAAAAGGCATTTTAAGTTATTTTCAATGTGTCCGTGTCACGCCCGTTCACGTAGTAAATGTGACCACGCCCACCACGTAAACCACACCCAAATCAATTAATAAACGGGGAAAGAAGAAAGAAGCACTTGACAGCATTTTAACTTACCATTCTTGCTTTTTGGACATCTTAAGAGTGATCTAAAGCCCAGCCATGCTTTGAGACATCAAATACAAGTAAGTTATTTCATTACAAAAGTTGTAGAGTTATTGCTATGTGTTCTAGTGCCAATAAAGTCCTTTTTGTGAACTGTAATAACATCATCTGGGTCATTTACATCCAGACATCGCTTCTGCTTGAGTTCACAGGTAATATTTTTATTTAGATTTTATTTAGAACTATAATTAAGGTTCCTACATTTAACATCAAAATAATTTATAGTTTTGGCACTTGCTGATGAATCCTATAAAAGATTATTGTTATTCTTATGTTTCATTATGTTCCTTTCCTTACTGTTGGACGAGGGGCTCCTCCTGTTCCTCCTTGGCCTCCCCCTCTACCTCCTTGGCCTCCCCCTCTACCTCCTTGGCCTCCTCCCCTCC